TTTCTTGTTTCATTATTCAGAAATAATCGAAGATTGATTTTATCCGCTGACTGACTAGTGGAATTGCTCGATTGTCATGAATTGAATATGTTTACTTACTTTTTTCAATGATTTCTGATTTCCTTCACAATAAATTCAATTTATTTAGTCATTTTAATAATTCTATTGCAGATCAATTCAATGATCTTATTGGAACCGTGTCCTTGATGAGAAACTCTCATACACGTTCTATTCGTACAGCTGTAGCAATATTTCTCGCAAAGATGCGTCTACCTTTGAGCAACCAACTATTAGCCATTCTATTTCATATAGAAAATAAACGCAACGTCTCTCATATCATCAGTCAACTACGTATAGCATTGATGAAAGATTTTGTTCCGGCTCACTTGGGTCTTCATCATATTGATCGAGTAACCGCCATTAATCAACACCAAACTACGTTTGCTACAATCCTTCACACTAAGAAACCTCAACAGCTTTGTGTGGTGGTTGACTCAACATATCTTTTTATACAGAAATCGAGCGACAATAAGTTTCAAAGAAGGTCTTATTCAATGTATAAGCATCGACATTTGGTTAAGACGATGATACTTACGACCACAGTGAGTTATTCATGTAATATGAAAAATATTCAAAATATGAGTCCGGATTTTTTTAACTCATTAATTAACTTTTCAGTAATCTTTTTTTCTGTAGGACGGTTATATTTTGTGCGTGATGGGTCCCTTCCTGTCTGACTATAAAAACAACGATGCATCAATATTTAAGCATTGTGTCTATAACAATGAACAGGATATTTTGAATTGGCTACACGATGATGATGTTTTAATTCTCGATCGAGGTTTTCGTGATACAATTCGAGCAATGAAACAATTTGGGTTTCAGATCGCTATGCCCAGTTTTCTAAACGGACGAAAACAATTTCCCTCGAAGAGCCAAATCTCAATCGTTGCATTACTAAAGTTCGATGGATAGTAGAGAGTGGTAGGGCTTCTGCGTAAGAAAAGTTACCTAAAAACTTTTTTATTCAGTGAATGCGCAACTCAAGAAATGGAAATATTTTAGCCAAACTATTCCGAACTCATCTCTGTGCTTCCTTAGTAACTATATTGATATCACTTGCGCATTAATCAATGCTTATGGTTCACGTTGCGTGCAACATATACATTCGGGTACTGAAATGGCTACTCAAATGCTTCAAAAGTGTCAAACAACAAATCCTGTTCTATTGTGTCTTCTTGAGTTGCTAGAAACAAAATTGCAATGGAAAAAATACGACGCGCAACTGTTAATTTTCCCAGAACTCACAGAACAATAGCTACGAAACTTATGCTACGATAAAAAAAAGATTTATTTAACCTAACCTAAAATTTGTTTTACAGGAACTTATCAAATTAAACAAGCGAGATTCTACATTAGAGAACATCTCACACAATCTCCTCTTGTGGACAACGACATGAAATTTATCATCGAACTTTGTGCACAACACAATGATCTTGTACGAGCTCGTTTTGAATCCCGTCACTGTAACAACAAAAATCACATCGCTACCGTACAATTCAAGCTCTATACGGAGTCACCAATTTCTGGCTGGTATTGTACCTGTACATCAGGGTGGCATGATATGGAATGCTGCGCTCACGTGGCAGCTTTGCTATGGCATCTTGGTGTTCGACGAGCAAACATCAAAGAAAACACTCACCCGCTTTCAGCTGGTCACCTTTTTGCTTCGATAGACGATAGTATCCAATTTTCAGAAGTAGAGGAAAGCGACGAAGAACAGGACGATAACGATAACGATAATCATGTACATAATGTTGCTAGCAACAGTACCAATAGTGATGATAGCACTAGCGATGAAGAAGTCGCTGATTGAGGCACTTCAAAATCTAGACTTTTCTATTTCACTAATTCGTTCACTATAAATAGAACAGCAATGAGAGCAAAAGAACAAGATGTGAAAATGTCATTTCTCTAACTTTTTCTAGTAGAACTTAATAGCAACTGAACTGTTAACATCTACATACAGATAACGGATGACGTGACAACATCCAATATACATAATCGAAATTCATAAAATTCATTTTTCCGATGTTATAAAACACTTATTCATTCATGACATATACATTTTGATGCAAACAAAATAGACAAAAGTAACCGACTATAAAATCTATTTAGAAATTTTCGATCTTTTCCCCCCAATGATAACATATTTTCAGAGTCAAATATATTCTATTTTGTAGCGCTTAAAAATGTCTATCGAATGGTAGATAAGAGAACAGTTCTATTGTGATATATTTGTGTCGAAGATGGAAGAATGTTCCAAGAGAAATAGTCAAATAGTGAATTTTTGTTAGTGCGCATAACTTTTTTGAAATTCATTTTGTCTTGACGGATTTAGTATCAAAATGCTTGTCTTAATGGCATCTTTCATTTCATATGTAATTTGACTAGGGTGAGTTGGAAAAAGCGCAATGGGCCGATAGGGTATCTTATACGCCCCTGTCCTTTTGAAGAATACAAATTTTTCCATTCCCCCACTTGGAACACTGCTGTCACAGAATGTTCTAGTATTATTCGCAATCGAATACATTTTTATCTTTATCTTTTCGTTTTCTCTTTGAAAGTAAAATATACTTCACTAATGAAGTGAAAAGTATCGAATAGTAAATAATTCAGCTGAAAAAAAAGACAGATTGATAGATAGATGAGTAATATAATGGACAACATATTCACTGACAGATGCCGTTCTTTAATATGTACATATCACTGTCAAACGTGTATGAGTCTTTTAAAGAAAAATGAAACGTTCAATTTTAACATCATGATAAACTTATCTATTTAAGCACGTATTATTGACAACTATCTTACTGTAGACGCATAAAAGTTAAATTAATCATACGAGCTTGAATTTTTCAAGTTCAACATTTTAATAAGAGCGTTAATTGTGAAGTGTATATGTTCGTATGATCTGATCATGATGAATTTTGTTAAAATTATATGTTAACATGAATCTTTTTTTCTTCTAAATATCAAAGCCTTCTATGTGATAATCTAAATGAGAAAGATCTTTTTACTGTGTGTCAGACTTCATCCTTCAAAAATAAAACGGAGATTTCCACATTCCAAGAGCACCACAATAATAACCAAAAAGCGAGTTTTTCTATTCCTCTGGCTATTTTGATATTTCTGAAATTTCTTATTCAGATTACTAACGTATAAGATGCATCAAATGTTTACTCTGGATTGCTTAATTTAAAAAAAGCAAGCAGATATTTCAATTCAAGCCTCCCTTGCATAGTTCTCGTTTAATTTATCTTGCTCATGTATAATAATTGTTGTATAACATTTCTAGAAATGAGACAAATGATATCCCTAGTGAACTATCTTGGACATGCATACGATACATCAGCTGCTAAATCAAGAATGTCATTTTGTAAGAATAAAACTCAACGTTTCGTTGCCATATACTGGGAAATTTGGATGTGTGCAAAATTCAAATTCACAAAAAAGCAACAATTTCTAATCAAATGAAACTACAGCGGTGTAACACACACACACACACACTTCAACCCAATAGACATCACTTCATAGTACCCATATACAAGCAAAGTTCCGTCCCTTTTTCTTTCATTAAATATATGAAACGTTTGTTTTTCAATATAATAGCGAAGGAAAATATTCCTGAAAAGACTTCAAAGATTTCCATTCATTCCATGGAACCAAATTTTCCACTTTGGTACAATTCATTCGAGTATCTTTTCTTGTAAAATTTTTTGTTACTCTTAACAAAGCTTCACCGACCACAAGAAGGCGAATATTCTTTCGAAAAAATGCTTTTCTATCACATAGAAATTCTTCAACATAATCATCATGAGCCCATTCAATGTCAAGTTCAACAAGGTGAGAATATTCAACGATTGATAAATGATCATTATCAGTCAATAATTTATAAGATTGTTTGTGTTGTTGTGGTTTGTGATTACATAAAACTAATTTTTCTATAAATGGGAATGATTGAGCTATTCGAAGGAAAAATTCATGTTCGAAAGGATGTTCATCATATAACAACACAATGCGAACATATGGATAATATCCACCTGGAAATTGATTTGATATAAATTCAAAGTGTGACATTTGCGATGGATATGTGTATGCATGGCATCGAGATTCCTTTCTATCTAGAAAATGATCCATATAACATATCACTTGTGTATATTGAAAATCTTTGAATGTGTTTCGGATATCGCCATTTGATGGTAAAATCATATAATTATTAATGTTCATTAGCGAATGAATATCAAATGTGAATTGATTTAATCGTGACATATTATTAACAATTTTATTCTTCAAATTATGTCCGTCAATCAATGTTTCTTTAACAGAAATCGACACAGATAAATTGAGTGTTTCTAAATTTGACATTCGATAAAGAAATGGGAGAATCAGTTCATCGTAACGGTATATTGTTCGACAACAAGACAAAGAAAAACACTTTAGACTTGGAATATCTCCCTGGAAACGAAAAATACAAGCAGATTCAATTTCTTTTCTTCTAACAAAAACTAACCTTATTTTCAATTTTTTCTGATTCGTACATGTTGGCTACCTCCATAATGAGTGTGTGAAGTTGGTTGAAACGACCATCGAGAAGATATAAACATGTATAAAAACAATTAATCTTTATATTCAATACCAAAAGAGTTGAAGAACAAAAATTGATCGGTGGATAAAAAAATGATAATTCAACGATACTTTGATACGACGATTCAGCAAATGTTAAATGAGTTAACTTCTTGAACACAGTAAAAACATGACTGCTTATGTATTCCATTGTTGAAAAATGCTTCAGATTCCGATCAATAGCAATTGTAATGAGAAGTTTGGTTATTTGATTTTTAAAAAGATCAGATGAAAGACTTATATCTAAACATAGAGATAATAATATTAGCAAAAAATACTCATGTTAATTTTTAATCAATCGCTCATCTATTTACTACTATAACAATTCAATCCTGAGATTTTCTTACCAGTGAAAAGACTTTTAATTGTTTCTTCTTCGATATTGAATAGACCCAATCCATGTAAATTTGGATAATGAGCAGCACATAGGATTTGTTTCATTGATGATGAGTCAACATCAAGCCACTGAATTTTCTCACGGACTTCTGGTAAAATTTGTAAACAAAATCGATTAAAGATAATATCAGAAGAAAATATGCTGAGGAATTTCTTCGAGGACCATTTCAAGAAATTCAAACGATTTGTAAAAATTGGATCTTGTAGAATGGAATCGAATCGTTCATTGACATCGAATAAAGAATAGAGAACTTCAACATTGTTCACTTGTTTGAAAATAAAAATAAGAAGCTCATCAGGTAAATCCTGCAATTGAACACATGATCGATTCATTTTTATGTGCTTCATAATTGTGTCCATTCAATCGGTCAATAGTCAATATTGACGTATGTGTACGCGTCCTCATTTGTTCAATTTGACCAATGCCGTCAATAGCGAAGAGAATAATAAGACATTGTTCTGTTGCTATCTCTCTTTTTCTTTCTTTTTCGTTCTTAATAGATCATATATTTATTTTCAATAGGGATGAAAAATGACAATATGGATTGAATGTTTTTTTTAGCGGAATTTCATTTCTGTAGTTATGAGAGAAAAAAATCGAACAGTTTTAAAAAAAAACAAATTATGTTTCATTTAGTAGCCGAATTGTGTGTCATTTGTTCGATTAGTTGTAATGGATTTTGTGTTGTTTCATCAGGCATAGCTAAAGTAAAAACAAACGATAATTAGATTGAAATAGAAGTATAGGCTATATTATACATACCGGGTAGCATCAATATATCCCAATTGATGACAGCGACATACGATGAAAACAATTTCGATGCATCTGCAATATTTTTTTATTGAATGCATGATACCTTCTATATGACTAAAGGTTGTAAACTAACTGCATTATTGCTGAACACCTGGGCGGCAATCATTTTGATTGCTTCTTGTTGTGATTGGTTCATGCGTATGTCGTTACTCATTTGAGCTTGAAATAAAAAGCAAAATTGTGTTTTCAAAAACACCGTTTATTTTTTCGTCTTCCCAAGGTATCGGCTAATGTGTTCAGTGCACGACATAATTTAGCCATTGTATCGTGTGCTGCTAATGCTTTGCTTTGGTTTGATGCATTAACAAATTTTAATCCAATATGGTGATGTAAATTTTCAACAACAAAATTGTCAAAAGAGTCCGGTGCGGTTTCTCCGCCAATTGACAATTCATATAAATCTATTTCAGAACTTTTGACACGTTGAATTTCCATGGCAATTTGATGGGCACAAACAGAAAATTTTTCGTCACATCCCATCTCTTTAATATTTTGCGCAAGTAGTCGATGAATTTCAAAAACCTTCGCTGATTTTTCAGCTTTCTTTAATACATCATGAAGACCATTCAATGCTGGATATAACTGACTATTTAGCGCTAATATAATAGCAATATGCATAGCTATAAAACAAAACCAACGAGTTTTAAAACAACGAAAAACAATGATTTCTACCCGTAGAAAATGTAGTATTCGAACTTTGATTTCTATTCACATGATGGCTCGGATGAACTGGCGTCTTACTTCCCATAGTCCCACCGAGTATTTGTATTGCTCTATTTGCAATGACTTCATTAACATTAATATCGATTTGTGCACCGGATATTGTTTGTAAAATACTTAATGGAAAATCACCATTAGATTCGTCGCGAATAATTTCATCACATGCTTGAGCAATTGCAACACAAATTGTGTTTTCAAGTCCAAATCCTTGATTCACGATCGCACATGCTTTTTTTAAAATAACGAGTGCCTTTATCATTTCTAATGGAACTTGATCTAAGAAAAACATTATTTGAAATGATCTAGAAAAATATGCTTTATATATATTTATACCAGTCGGTAATCCGATGTTGAATTGGATCATTGAACGTGCTGTTTGGGCACCGTAGTAACATTTTGATGGTACTTGAATCGGGCCGAATGTATTTGTTTCTGTACGTGTATCATTAGTTACTTCAGTAACTTGATTCATTTTTGTAATCTCTTATTGTCTAAAAATATAAAAATTTTCTAGGTTGTTGGTTAAAATCAGATGTGGCAATAATAAACATTCGAATTTATATATTTAATCATCTAGATAAGTATGTGAAAGAAAACAAAAACAAATATACGATATACGTTGATTGCTTATTTTAATTGAATGATATAGACAAGAATTTCATACACAATTATATTGCTAAGAATAATAACGGTAGAAATATTCGAGTTTATACAATATATATGAGCATTGGCGGGCCAGGGTAATTTTTTGTGGTGGGGCAAAAGTTATTAAAACGTCTACAGCATCTATTAAAAAATATAGGCTTGAATTTTCTTCATATATTTCAATTACCATGCTGAGAACTTTTTATTGTGTTCATCCTGTTCATTGGATATTTATTACTTTTACTCTTACAAAGTGACGAAAGAAATAAAAAGATATGATCATCAACTTATTTGGGTGGGGCAATTGCCCCACCGTGCCCCAATGGTGGCCCGCCGATGTTCACACTGGTCATGCTAGGTAAGAGATGCAAAGTAAGTTTAATGATAAAACAAATAATAAAATGTTGAATGTGTTATGATTCGTAGGAGAAGAATGAATACTGTTCATCAAGATGAGGTCTGTGTGAGAGTTCTTAGTTCTATGCGCTGGTTCGTCTTTTGAAGAATTCTTTTCGATTGGATTTTTCTTGTTTCCGTTCTGGTCGTTAACGATTTTATTTAGTTATTGATTCAGATCGAACAAAATCAAGGTTTTAACGGACACGTCGCTTTTGAAAAGATCCGATGAACAGTGCTAGTTTTTCGTTTACGAGCTGTCGCAGGTTTAATCATAAGTCGATTTAATCTACTGCAAGTTATCGCAAGAGCTAGAATTGCATTCATGAATATTTAAATATATCTTGCGTACACTAGTAGAAGAGTTCTAGAGATGATTTGATATCATAAAGCAATGCTTATTACAAACCTTGGTTGTTTTCCATTATAGAAAAATGTGTTGTTATTTAAAAATGAATGAATACAAATAGGACACAATTCTGCAATTCACTCCAATTGATATGTGAAATTTCATGTGTTGTTCTAGAGAGATTTTGTTCAACGTTTTGATGACTAGCATTTTCATGAACGCATCAGTAGTTTCTCTTTTAAGTTCTTTTCTCTCATTTCATTACATAATTCAGTAAAACGAAGTGAAACCTGTCTTGTTATATATTGATTTATCTCGAGATTGTACGATTATACATGTGACATTGTAGTTCGCTAATCGTACTACAGTGCTCAGTGACTTGTACATGATTCAAACAAAGTTGATGTTACATACGCGTTGCACTATGAATAGAACACAGAAATGCATACAATTATCAAAAACGAAACCATATAGCTCAGCGTAATCGATTATAATCAAATATTCGAATTAACTATCACTAGCTTACTCATGATTAAGTCACATCTTTAAATATAGATAATTCAATACTGAATGACATTTTTTATTTTATGTTCTTTTGAATTCAAAACAGAAAAATACGCATTAAAAAATAGCTCAACTAATGCAGTTGCTTTAAAATTGAAAAGAGGTCCATTTTTTAGAATAAACATTCAGCATGCCTTCTTACACAGCAGTTGTTGTTCTACGATTCGTACTTGCACCCGCTGGATTGAGCAGCTTGGACGCATGATGAGCCTGGAAGTATTATGAGACATGTAGAGAAGTCAAAAAAAGAACAATATCGCGTCTACCTGTACAAGTGAGAAACGTCGAAGCTCATCATGATCCACAGCGATTCTTGGAGCATTGGCACCTTCACTTTTGAGCATTCGAGCGAAATTACGATGAAACCGTGATGTTGATAAATGTTTTGTTAGAGGCGTATAAAATTTTGCAGTTGCTTCAATAAATGTTCCTCTTCT